AAGACCAGTGTTAACTCCACAGGAACAAACTGCATGGGCAAGAAGGCAATCCAGAGTCTTTCTCTGTAGCTTTTGCCTCCTGACAAATATTAAATACATTTGCCAAACCACTGTGCAACAGAATACCAGTATGGGACCAGATCAGTGGCAGCAGTGAAAAATAAGTTTCCACTGACCCATTGTGGCAGCTGGATTCCCTCTGTTAAGGAGTCTTGACTAGCGTGTGGCTAAGAAAGCTGCTGGCATCACATCAGGGGTTCTGCAGAAGGTGAGGATGGAGGAGGCATGCATGAGGCAGCACAGTGCTTGGTGATAAGATGGCTCAAACTGGGAAGGCCTGTGAAAAAACAGAGTATTCTTTTGGTATAACATAGGTAGTTGTGTGCTTTTTTTAATTTTTTTGGAGGGATTGGGGGGTGGTGGTGGTGTGTTTTGTTTTTTTTTTTTCCGTAAAAAGAAAATATTTCCTTGTACTTGATTTCCCATGCTCTGTTCATTTATTGCTGTAAAACACAGAGGGTGGCTTGGGCAGTGATGTGCTAAGTAAGTCTCCTGCATTAAGAAGAGACCCTCATGCCTTCATCAGAGAGCTTGACCCTTGTGATCCCTCAGCTTTGTACTGAATATAACATATAGGGGATGGAATACTGTGTTGGTCAGTTTAGGGTCACCTGTCCTGTCTGCCACTTCCCCCAGGTGCAGCCTTTTACTTTCTGCACCCCCAACATGGTACACAAAATTTAGCAGTGACCTTGGTCTGCACACCAATCCTCGGTAGCAACTTTAAACATGGAGTGTTATCACTGCTAGAAGCAGACACTGTCTGTGAAAATATGCCATTAACTTCAGAAAGTGCAGTTACTTAGAAGAGACTGAGCTGAAAAGTAAAATCACTGAAGAGAATTAGTTTTAACCTGAGCCAGGACAGCTTGTCACGCAGGGCTGTGTCCAGTTTGCAGTAGCTTCAAGCACGGAGACTTCATAACCTCTCTGTGGCACAAGTAAGCCACCAGCAGGCTGATTTGGGAGGGGCCTCCAGCTCTCCAGTTCCACCCCAGGACCCTGAGGCCTCCAGCCAGTCCACTCCAGACTAGAGTGGATTTGGAGGAAGGCCACAAAAATGATCAGAGCTGGAACACCTCTCCCATGAAGAAAGGCTGAGACAGTTGTGGTTGTTCAGCCTGGGGAAAAGCAGGCTCTGGGGAGACCTTATTGAAGCCTTTCAATATGGAAAGACAGAGAGAGACTTCTCATCAAGGCCTGTAGTGACAGGAAAAGGGGCAATGGTTTTAAACTAAAAGATGGGAGATTTAGACGGGACATAAGGAAGAAATCTTTGGCAAGAAAGGTGCTAGGAGACTGGACCAGGTTGCCCAGGGAAATTGTGGGATGACTTGCCCCTGGAAGTTTTCAAAGTCAGGCTGGATGGGATTTTGAGCAACCTCTTTACGCAGCCCTTCTGCTTCACAACCAAAATGAAATGAGGTGCAAAATATAGTTCAGGTCCAGATTCTATCACCTCAACTCAGCAGTACTCCAAAATTAATTCACTAGCAAGAACAACTCCCTGTGCACTGACAGGCTTTAACTACGGATATCTGCATCACTCTCTATTAAGAGTCACCTGAATGTCCCCATAACAATCTTTTTGAGTTGGAGCATCTTTTTTCAGATTAAGCTCTTCTGTCTCCAATTCAGAAACCTGATCAATCTAGAACAGAGACAGACAGTGGGGAAAGGAAACCCCAGCAACACTGCAGCATCAGACAGCATCGTGATTTCTGCATTACCTCTGCACAAGGAAGTACCTTATTCTCAGAGGAGGAGTCAAAAGCTTTCTCTTGTCTTGCCAGCAGCAGCAGAACATCTACAGAGGAAGTAAAATGTTTGACACTGGTGAGTGGTTATTTCGCTCTGCTTTTCCCCATCCACTTCACTCCAGGGAAGCTTACAAAAGTAACCAGTTAGTGTGTCAGGAAATTACCATTGTGGCTCTCCTCTGCAACCGACAGCAGGCCCACTCCATGTCTGTCTGCAGCTGGAAGCAGCATGTCAGCTGACACTTTCTCTGGACCTTCAGAATTTCTCTGTAATTTAAAAGACATATGTGCGAACTGGCAGAAGCTCCTTGACCCATTTTGGTCTTTTCTAACACAAATGATTCCATGATTCTACCTCATTCTTAGTTGAAGAGTCAGAATCTTTGTTCTTTCCCTCATAATCCAAACAGGTCTCAGAATCTTTCTCTTGCTTGGCTCCTGCCACTGGCATGAGACCTATAAAGGACAGAAGAAGTGCAATGCTGCTGTGAGTGCTTATTTTACTCTACCTTTCCCCATCCCACAAACGCAGCATCCAATCAATGGGTTGTTGCTCTCTGACAGGTCATAGTGATTTGTCCTCATCACCTCTTCTACAGTGAAGGATCCTCCCTGCTGTCATCAATACTGGTGCACGGAAGGGTGAGCGAGCAGTTCTATAACACCAAGAACGCTCAAGTATTTCTGAGCATTTTGTGCCTCCTTCAGAATGTATTCCCATGTTTTGATAGTGTTTGTTTTCCTCAATAATAGTCCCATAGACAGAAAGAGGGACTGTTTTCAAGTTTGCTTCATAAGCAGAACTAAAACCAAAACAAAACAACAAAGAAGAAAATCCTTAAAAAGTACTCCAGACCAAGGCTGCTATGCAAAATGGTGCATTAGTGCAGCACTAACACTGTGCCAGAAGCCTGGAAAGAAGGAATGACCATCTTGTTTTGCTAGAGTAACCCTCTAAACATGCTTTATTCCTGAAGGGCTTTTTACTCCCCAGTTTACCTAGGCACCCTTTTCTCCTGCTTCCCATTGATACAGGCTGGCAGAAGGGGCAGAAAGAGAAGAAACAAAGTTGAGTTTCAGTGACAGGAGGTCATTGACAGTTGTTTATGGCTAGACAACACATGCTCATATGCATAATGCAGTTCATTCACAGGCCACCATCACTAGAAACAAGGGCTATTTCCTTCAGCCTATCTGTTAAGCACACCTGGCCACCCTAGTGAAGGGACTCACAGGAGTGCAAAGCTACCCATGAAAGAAGGAAAACCATGGAAGAGTTTAACTTCAAGGGTTATCAGTTAGATCCCCTCTGAAACAAAAGGCAGTTGAGTGGAGCTTGGCAGCACACAGGTGAATTCTCAGAGAACCTGGGGGAGGTTTATCCTCAGTTTCCAAATCCAATCTTGACATGGAAAATGATGCATGAGAAGATGCCACTGAGTCCAGCTTCAACAAAGGTTTCAAAATCTTGTTAATGCCCAGTGATGTTAGCAAAAAGGGCTGTGCATTAGCACAGAGAATTCTGAGAATGCAGCTGCTCTAATGAGGACATAAAACACTTAGTGAATATGGTGACAGACTGAAAAGACATAGGTGTGTTGCCAGATTGGTCTTCAAGAAATTGCATTATATTTATATGGCCAACCTCAACAGCAATCATAAAAGCAGTCCTAAAGCATCCCAGAGATGACAAGAAAAAATGTCAGCTTCTGCGCACGTTGCGTTGTGATTACTGCAGTCCCTCTTTGCTCCCCAAATCAATTTATGTCCCTTCTATGGGTAGAGTGAAAGCCCAGCCAAACTCATGGAAGCGCTGGAGAATTCAAGTTGGCAGGACCTCAGGAGGTCTCCAGGCCAACTGTCTGCCCAGCACAGACTCAGGGTGTATGTGCATGCATGTGTGTGGCACCACAGCCAACACTTTCTTGCAGTTGTCAGTGTGGAAATTGTCCCTAAATAAGAAAGCAGCTGAATGTGGGTCTGCTTTCACAAGTGTCACAGAAGGAACTCCTGGGCAGCTCCTGGTTCTTTTTCAAAGCTCATTCCTATACTTCCCACCAATCAAACTTGAACAATGCTAAGCAGTACCATGTGCACTTTTAACAAACCCTTCGGCTTTTACTTATATCTTGAATGTGGTTGCCAGCTCCTTTTTTAACAAAGCAACTTGACAATCTCTTCATGGTGCAGGATGGTCACAAATTGAAGTGGAGTGTGTCTGAACTGAAAGAGGAAATCATCTCCCTTAGATTAACACAGAAAAGTCACAAAAACTTTGGGAAGAGGAGCCTTACCCGAAGTCCAGGCTTACCACATTCTGAACATCAATTCAGGCTTTGTGCTCAAGTAACAGCTCCACTATAGATGTGTCACCAGTACGGGCAGTCTGGTGAAGGGCAGTGTTGTCCTCAGCATCTGTGAAGTCAGGCTGGGCACCATGCTTCGGCAGAACAGCCACACAGTCTTTGTGACAGTACTCTACTGCCTGTAAACAAGACAGAAAGGAGGAATAACTTCAGTTAAAATTTCAGTGCATAATCAATGAGCCCAATGTACAACAGCATAACACACTCCACATACCTGTATGGGTGGTGTTTTCTGAAAACAGTCATGAAGGCTTAGCCGGCACTTCTTTTCTGCTAGAAAGTGAATGACATCTTTATGGCCATTCTCACAAGCACGAAGTAGAGGTGTCCTAGAAAGTAAGCATGTTCAGTTAACGCAAACGGACAGCTAAGACATTGTTTCAGGCTGCAGTACCTGTCATATAGGGCCACAAGCCTCAAGTGGTAAAAAAGAAGAAATCAAGTTTTCCAGTTCCAGAGCCGGTGGCAGCAGTTGCACATCCAAAGCCCGAAACCAGCTAGGAAACATCCCCAGCACATCTGCTGAGTCAGGCGGCATTTCCTCAGCTGTGTCAGTGAGTGCACAGACTCCTGTGCCCAGGCACTGGTCCCTGCCTCCAGGATGACTGTCCAGCCACCCTGCACAACAAAGGAGAGCTGCAGGCTGTCCAGACACATTTATGGATGCTACATAAGTCCATGGAAGCTGTGGAGTCAGCATCAGCTCCTGAGTTTTCCACCAATCGTTCCTGGACCAATCTCATCTCAAAGATACAGGGGATGGGATTTCTAACAGAAACAGGA